TAAATTGGATTCCACGATAACCAGGAGTCATTTGGAACCGTTCAAAATCAATAGAGGCAACGAAATCACAAATATGGCCAGGGTCTCGTCAAGAGTGGATTCATTAGACTGCGAAAATTTTGAAGTAGATTTAAGATCATCTACTGCTGCTACCATTACTGCTCCTACTCCTTCTGCTACAACTGCCACTACTCGTCGTACTGCTGCTACTGTTCCTACTTCTCCTGTTGTTATTGACAATAGAAAATTGTTTTACATGGATACCAAGGACAAAGAAGAAGATNAGAAAATGGGCTTCCATGCAAAATGAAGTAAAAGAAGAAGAGGAAATTACGTCTCCTAGAGAAAACTTGACTTCATTCAGATCTAATACTTACAACATATCCAAGAGTCGTATGGATACATTGAGAATAAATCGTTATAAAGAAAACAAAGCATTGTTCGGGTGGCCGGAAAGAGAATTGTCAGATAACAGGGACGAAATTGATTTCCAATCACCAGTAGCAACTGCCGTTACTCCAGAAGATGAAGAAAGAATTAAGTTGACAGATAGAGAAAAAAGATCATCCAGATATGAAAAGTATATCAACACACCTATGAAAGAAGCTGCTTCAAGTACAAACGATGACGATATACAATATATACAAACAGATGCTTTAGACAGAGCCCTCCTAAACTATATCAGAGTTTCACTAAGAGTCCATGGAGCGGCCTATCAGGGATCACCATTCAGGGTAATCCCTGCCTATTCTGAGTTTCCAACTATTCATTCCCAAAGTGAAAATAAAAGAATTTTCCCTCCCAATCCATTTTCACCCTGCAAGAGAGCACATATCAAACCTGTGAACTACGGAGAAGATTACGGTAATTGTTATCGATCAGCCAGTGGTTTTGCGGATATCAAAATGTGGTCTCCATTTTATTCTTGATCAAGCAATGGGCATTGACATCCGAAGAATGACTATATTGATTCTACGGAGATGAAAATAGATCTTTCTTGGTGAAAGGAAAGGTTAAAATGGTAGGGGATTTAGCAATAGCTTGCTATTTATTTATTCATTTATAGAGTTTTATAATTTTAATGTTTTTAAACAAGAACGTCTCTTTCGTAAAATTTTATGACTCTGGCTACGATTCTGCGACCCCACTCTTGCCAATGCATGCGCTGCCTTTGTTTGGCATGCAACTTTGTATAAATTTGTGATCTGTAGCCTAAGCTATTCAATGTTTTTATTGCCCAAGAGCCTTAAGAAACCAGATGTATATATCTCAAAAGAGCCAGGAGGTATCACTGTACAAATTTCCTGTTTGATAACGATAAATAGGGACTGAAAGCCTGCACCCTGTTATTACATAAATACACAAAGGAAGGGAATGTGTTATAAAAAGGGGGTGACGAAAAAGAATTGAAATGATACATACAACCGAAGTTAAAATTAGTTTTGGAATAATGGAGCAATTAAGTTTGCAGCTTCTTTACCCAAATTTCCATCATCATAGTCAATGATGGAAACAAAAGACGGACGTGGAACAATCTAAGATTGCAACAACCCAGGATTCAGAATATGGCAAAGTACAGACAAATTTACATTACAGTGAAATAGGGAGGGAATTTGTGTGAATAGCTTAGTTTTGATCTAAAGCAAAAAGCCTAAGATATAAGTCGAAGACTATCTATAATTTTAGATGTTTTGGAGAATTTGATTTGGACCAATTGAAACCGCTTGTTTTGTTGACGCCTCAACTATAATCTCCAAAGTTTCAACAACAAGATTATTGAATTGGTGGAATATATTGTCCAAATTGCCATCCAGAGTAATAATGTTTTACATCAACCAAGATCCTACGTGTACAAGACTTTACCAAACTTCGTACTAATTCTGAGAATAAATTGATCAAAATTTTAACCAAATATTCAGAGATATTTTTATGGATACTAACTTTCAAATACAAGTAGATATACAATCAATGATAACCAAACTCCATATAAAACTATTACTTCCTTCTTTTTGTTATAAAAACAAACAACTTTTATAAAAAAGTTTGTTTATATAAACAAAATGAAAAATGGTTGCAAATTTTTTCTTTTGATATCCGGTAGAAAATCATGTGAATGTCACACGTGGTTCATGTGATATTTACTTGCAAAAACTTTTATATCCGGTAGCGTATTTTTTACACTTCACTTTTGTTTGATAACGAAAACGTTTGTTGTCGCAAAAATTGTCTCGGAATCTTGCGTCAAGCGGATCTTCCACTTTAGAAAGAAAGAGAAATAAAAAAAAAGTAGAACATGAAAAATCTGAAATTTCACGTGACAGGCGAAAAAGAATATTATTGGTTGGATAAAAATACGACATCATAAAAGAAGGTCGTGTAATAATGAACAATTAAAGAAAAACTCATTTCTTTTTTTTTTCTTGGGATTTTTTAATTAAAATTTATGACTAACAATTGAAACATTATATTTAAAGATTAACCTTAACCTTTAATTTATACCAAGAGATTTTACTTACACATTTACATTTTTACATATTCCCCCACTGCCAATACTTTTTTTTACATATTATACATATATAACCTATAAAACATACTTAACATGTCACCTTCATCACTTAAACAGCAATTATCAATAGAAAAGAGTAATAGCACTAACAATAATCTATCACATCAACCACAGCCACAACAACCTGTAAAAGAAGTTATAGAAACTGAAGTTAAAGAAGTTAACGAAGAAGAAGAAGAAGATTTACAACTGTTACAATTAAAGTTAGCTAATATGACACCAACTAATAATACTACTACTAATAAAAATGTATTAACTCCATATATAAAATCATTAATGTTAGATCCACCAAATTTAACTCCAAATGATTTATCACAAGTATTAAAAGCAATCTTCCAAGGGGCACCATCTGAAGTACAAACTGCTGCGTTCTTAAGTATATTAAGATTAAGAGGGTTAGATCAAGAAGCTAATTTCATTGCTGCTGCTGTAACTACAGTATTAGAATTTGCTAAAAATATTCCACCTGAAACAGTGGATTTAGAAGGGTATATAGATATTGTTGGTACTGGTGGGGATGGACAAAATACTTTTAATGTTTCTACAAGTGCTGCCATTATAGCTGCAGGAATGGGATTACCAGTTTGTAAACATGGTGGGAAAGCTTCTACTTCAACTTCTGGATCTGGTGATTTATTAAAATCTTTAGGCGTTGATTTATTTAATATTAATGAGCAAACAACTCCAGAAATTGTTAAGAAATCAAAGTTTTGCTTTTTGTTTGCACCAAGTTTTCATCCTGGTATGGGTACTGTATCTCATGTTAGATCACAAATTGGTATCCCCACGATCTTTAATATCTTAGGTCCATTAATAAATCCAATCCCAATTAAAGCAAGAGTATTAGGGGTTTATAGTGAGAAATTAGGTGAATCTTATGCTCAGGCTGCAAGTATTTTAGCACAAAAATCTCATATTCATAAAAGAACAATGGTTGTTTTTGGTGAGGTTGTATTGGATGAAATTTCTCCAATTGGATATACTAAATATTGGATGATTGAAGGTGATGGAGAAATTAAGACCGGTAGAATATCTCCAGAAGATTTTGGATTACCTCAACATGAATTATCTCTTGTTAAATCAGGTACTCCTCAAGAAAATGCTGATATTTTATTACATATTTTAAGACAAGATGACGATGCATATACTGTTAAAGACAAGGATAATCATCCTTTGGTCGATTATATTTTAATGAATAGTGCTGCTGTTGCTGTGATTGCTGGTTTAGCCAAGGATTGGAAACATGGGGTAGAATTGGCTAAAGATTCAATTGTTTCTGGTCAAGCTTTGAAAGCTTTACAAGATTTCCAAGCTGCCGTAAATGATATAGTGTTGTAGGTAGGTTACTTTTTGTGTTTTTGGTTAGAAATAATAATATATTTATAAGAATTAGCTCAAGGCTGTATAACATAAAAACATTTAAAACATACATATATAAAATGGAACTAAAAGACAACTCTCTCTCTCTCTCTAATCAATTCTGGCTTCAGATAAAGTCAACGGTCTAATATTATTAGAAAATACTGAAGAACCAGATTTAAACCTATTAATCTTTTTCAATTTCTCTCTTACAACCATTACAGGTACTGTCAGTTTTGTAACCAAATAATTCGATAAACTTCCCAATAAAACCCCTTTAATCGCACTTTGACCTTTGGAACCCACTATAACTAAAGTAGGCTGTAAATTATCAATAAATTCTAATATCAAATGTCTTGGAATCGGATGATGAATAACTTCAATCACAATATGAATTTGTAATTTGGTTAATTTTAACAAATTTAATACTTGTTGTTTTGCCTTATTCAACATTGATAATCGATGTTGTTCACGATCATTTTCATTCTGAGTATTGGCTTTAAGATTATGATTGGTATCATTATCTTCAATAACATAGATTATAAACAATACCGATCCATCAACCAATACTGTCCCCAAACTCCATTCTAATGCAAATATTGATTCTGGGGAAAAATCCATACATAATAAAAACATCTTTGGTTTTATTTTAGGATTGATTAATTGGAAGAAATTCCCCCTGGTTATGGTTTGGATTACTCGACTATGGGATTTATTTGAATCGATTTCTCCTTCTTTAATGGTTTCATTTAATTGGGATGCAAATTCACTATCTAATTTATCTTCAACTGCGGAAGTGTATGGGATGATGAATTCTCCATCGGGGCCTTCACCCCCGTCGGTAGTAGTGCCTTCCAGTGATGGTGGTTGTTGTCCTGCTGCTGCTCCTGCTGCTGGTGCAGCAGAGTCTCTGGTGGGAGAAAGAGTAGTATCCCTAGCTGGAGAAGGTGAATTATGTTCCTGCTGATCAATAATCTTCCTTCTATAAGCCTGATAATTCTCCAATTTCTGTCTTCTGGCAAAAGCATCCTGTTCAGCTCTTTCTAAATTCAAAGAATCATATCCTAATAATTTATGTTTATCACTTGCCAATTTATTTAATTGTTCTTTATCAATTGCAGTACCAGCATTTTTAGCAGCAGCGAAAGCACGTTCACTGGCAGTTAATTCTTCTAATCTTTTTATGGTTGCATTATCATTCAAATTTGAATTTTCTAATATTGATGAAATCTCATTGATTTTATCATCTTGACATGCATAATTTGGTAATATATTTCCGGTGTTATCATATTGAAATTTATCATTACTATCATCATCACTTATATGTTCTTCTTCACTAACTTCATTCTCCCAAAGTTGTTGTTCATGATGGTCTTCATCTTCTCCAGTAGCATCACCATCCCTCTTCTTCCTGATTAATCTCTCCAGTGGGTCATGATTAGTGATAGCCCATTTAAGTTCTTTATTAAAATCTTCATTCAGAACGGAAGAAGATCTACTAGTGCCACCTCCTCCGGCAGATGGTGATAATGATCTACCTCTAACAATTGATTGTTGCATTATTGCAAGCTTTTCTGCTTCAAGTCTTGCTTTAAAGTCCGCCATCTTGAATGTAGTTTGTAGTTAACGTAATGGTTATGGTGTGGGGTGTAGTTGTTGTAATTACTTGTTGTAGTTATATGGAGGGTAGTGTACAGTAATCAAATATAAGTTGGTTAAATGTATTTCTATTTATGATTACTATTTGTTATGGATACCCAAATATAGAAATAACGCTGTTTGGTTGTTTACGTTGAATTGTAAATTAAGTTTTATAAAATCAGAAATGAATAGCGAGAAATTCAAAGGCCACCACCAACCCCCAAAAAACTTTAAGCGAACAAAAATGCCTCTTTGTTTTTGAAATATGAAGCCGCACGACGGACAAAAGAAATCACAATCACGTGATAATAAATGTCCGGGTAATACTAGTCAGAATATTACATCTACACAGCTATCTAAGTCTTATAGAGAGAGGTATCGATAATTAGTTAGAAAATTTGATTAAACCATCCATGGCTTATTTATTTCCCCGGATTTGCCTTCGCTTGCTCTCTCAATCACAGTATAATGCATTACTAATTCCTGATCAATATCCAAAGCTTCTCTTTGTTCTATATGTCTACTATTATATACGATCGCATTATTATCCAGTTCCTATTTACTCATCACTCTCTTCGTCATCCTCCTCATCCTCATCAGTAAATTCAACTAAGAAATTAGCTCCCTTAAATTCAGGAATATCATTAATACTTTTATTGCTTGATTTAATAACTTTTTTAGGATATGGCTGTATAATTTCAAATTTAAATGAATTTTTATTACAATATTCTTCTAATGTCATTTCTTGACTTTTCAACAGTTCATCCAATCCAACATCATCAATTAATTCATCAATTATATTTATAATTTCTTCAAATGTTGCTTGTTGAGTTTCTAATAATTGTTCAATATATATTTTCAATTCAACAAATAAATAAAATTGATTAATTGAAATTGATTTATCAAATAATTCAATGATTCTTTTCCCATTTGGTAATTTAATGGCTATTCTATAACCATCACTTGGCTGACTAGTTATAACTAATTCAAAATAATTATCTTTAATTAAATTCAATAAATAATATAATCTTAATTTCTCAAGATTTTCTTGTTGTAATTCTTGTTCACGTTGAGCTTTCTTTAATTTATCTTGTTCTAATGATTGTAAAAATGCATCATCTTGTTGTTGTCTTATCATTCTACTAAATTCCATATCTTTCTTATCGAATCTTAATGAAACCAATTGTGGATTATATTTATCCAATATTTTATAAAAATTCTTTAATATTTTAACAATTGTTTGGCCAGTCTCTTGTTCTTCGATGATAAATGACAGGGCTAGATTGGATTTATATAATATTGACATTGATGCCATTAATTCAGGACTTGCAGATACATTTCCAATCAACATTATACATGGTAATCTCTTACATTTATAAGTATGAGCAATTTCAAATGCCTCTGGTGATCTTTCAACATTATTTAGAAAGATTTCAGTTTCTTTAAATGATCCTGTTGTTTTATTAAATAATTTATTAAAATTTGGATGTGCCAAAAGCTTCTTTAAGAAAGTTTGACATTCAATTGAATCATTGATCAATAGGATTAATAACCAATGATATTCTTTTTGACAATATAATCGAACTTCATTAAATTCAGAATCATGAACGTTGTAATTGTTGAGAATCGATTCTTCTTCTTGTGCTTCTCCCTCTTCCTTTTCTTGTACCAATTCATTCTTTAATAAATTCAAGAAATTATAATTTGGATGAAATTTACCAAAATTAAACCCTCGCTCTAATCGATTAAATGAACTTCCTTTTCCTAATAATCCAATCCCTCCTCCAACACCTGCTCCAAACATAAACTTAAACGCAGAAACCAACAATTGCAATACAGTCTTGGGTATAATCAACAAAAGTATCCAAATCGCAGCAAGTGGTGATTTCTTCCTCATTCCATCATCTTCAGACCTTATCGAAGTAGTCTCCTCTCCAACATTCTCCTTCTCCTCCCCTTCCAACTCCTTTCGTTTCCTTTCTTCTTCCTCCCGCTCATGTATTATCGAACTATGTATCCCCACCTCCAATTGCCACCCATTCGAAATACTAGGAGCCTTAGGAAACTTCGGCAATAAACTATCCATAAACATCTGACTCTGTAAGTTAACAACATCCCCACTACCAGGCACACCAATCGCAGGTCTGGCATATCTATTATGTATTTCCCCTTCTTCATTATGTGTTTCCAATCCCGATGCATACGGAGGGGGGGTTGGGGTATGTATTGGTTGACTTGGTTGATTTATCGTATCGAATCCTGAGTCGAAGTAGGTTGAGATTGCATTGTTGAGATTGAATTCTTGAATGGTTAATAATTGGATTATTTTGGTGTCGGTGCCACTGTCGGTGTTGTCACTGTCTAAGAGCCCGGTTATTGATTTGAATTGGATGAATGATTCTTGTTGGTCATTGGTTAATTCTTCATATGATGGTGGCGATGGTGATGACATTGTGGTGAGTGTATGGTATTTATAATGAATATATGATCTGTCTGTTTCTTGTGTCAATGAGAAAGATTGTAGGTGGTCATAACTGATTTGTAAATCCTTTGAAAAAAAAATGTTGGGGTGGACTGCATATAAATATTACCCTCGGTTATTACGGTCCCCAAAGGTGAGTGGTGAAATTGGTTGCAAATTTTGGTGATTCCATTATTAGTCACATAATTATTAGAATCTGAGAATTGACAAATTATCCCCTACAAACGGTTGAATTAATCATTCCAGAATCCTAAACAACGTATAGTTAACTATGCACTACTATCTATGATTCGGAATAAAAAGAATTCAAGAAACTAGTCAAAACGCGACGGGGTCTTACATTGGAAACAATAAGGTTATCAATTCAAGGAGCCTAAACATTTCCCCATTTAGTCTTGTTGCCCAAAGGAATCACTTAAAATCTCCATTAGTTTTTGGTTTATAAAAGATGTTGAATGTGTTTGTATATGGGGGATTCCAAAGGGCAAAGAGTATACATATACGTCGGGTTGATATCCAAGATTAATTATATCCACCATCACTTTTCTCGACCACAATTCTAATTCAACAAAATAAGTAATATATAAGAGAAAGTATACATATGAAAAAAAATGCTGCAAATAAATTTGAGCTTCCTTTGTCTGCATGAAACTCAACAGGAATCAAATCTCTCCTTGGTACCCTCTTAACAAGCATAACCTTCCTGTCAACAATCACCTTTTCCAAAGAAGGGTAACTAACTAGCTTAATATCGAAAGAAATTTGACGCAGCAGAACCTCAATTGATTCGTGTGGCCAGTCTACCGCCCTTCCTCTTTGAAAGCATGTCCACATTGATGTGATGTGTACGGGTTCCGTAGATACGCTTAATATTTTTAAAGATGGCATATGTTTTTGTAGGATAAATTCATGAATTTTGATTCCAAAAGTGAGGGAATTAACGTTACTGAAGTAAATTTCTTCTAACGGTTTTAACATACTAATGAAAAGTCCCCAATCGTCTAGCTTTTCATTTTGATGGCGGGTAAAGACAATCTCTAAAGCCTTGAGTGATTGGAGGCTTCTAGCAAATTCGTCCATTGCATCAGAAAGGAAGGTATGAAAGTTACATAACCGTAGTTTTTTAATTCGCAGCATATCAACAATTGGCAAAATATCTCGAAGCATCCTTTCATCAAAGAGTGTCAAATATAAGTCATCAACAGCAATTTAGGTTGGACAAGCGAACTTAGTACCTCCAATAATGTTGATACTTTTCAACCGTTTAAATTTAGGGAGTTCCTTTTGTAACCAAACTGTCTCATAGTCCCGCAAGAACAAATGTTGCACCAAGTTCTTGTTTTGTTCTGGGTAGCTTAGTTCTAAACTATTTCCAAATAAATGGAATTTCGCAAGTGATTTCTTCTGATGCTTTAATAGCCATCGCTTGATTCCGTCAAGTCTAACATCAAGAAACCGAATCGAACATTTAGGTGCCATTACAAGTGTAGCATTCAAGTATTGGACTGAAACTTGTCTGTCATCAGCAAAAAGTATGCTCTTAATATATCGAGGAATACAATAGGTGCTTGAGAAAAACTTGAACAATTTTGAGCAACTTACTACAGTATATTCCATATAGAAGGGAGTATACAATTTTTTGGGAACATTAATGACTTGGGTATCTTCACCTTTTAAGCAATCATCATAAACAAAAATGGATTTAAACAACTTTCTTTTACACACTTTGTCGAATGTTTTATGGGTCAAAGCTAAGTGGAATGCATCCATCTGGTTACATTGATCTAAGATTATCAGTAATACATCATCCGGAAGTAAAAAGATCCCTTTGGTTAAATCATTGCGTGGTTTGACCAGTAATTTATTCTTACTTAGTTCAGGGCTAGCTTTCCTGAGTTCGTTTCTCATATCTCTCACTGGCAAGTCTAGTTGCTTTTTTCCCGTGCTTAACTTAAGCAAATTCATTTCAAGAAAGTAAATAGTGGGAACTCTCCTATATATAAGAGATTCTCGTCTTGGAGTTAAGTTTCAATTAAAGTTAAAGTTATGGTTTTTGAGGAGGAGTTTTTGACAAAAGAAGATAGAATATTCCCCTCAACTTGCATTTTCTGCCAGTTCAGAATATGCTGATAGTCGATCTTGATACTTCTACTTGTACTCCTATATAGGCTTGTGGCGGGAAATGAGGAAGGCAGCAACGGGCACTGGATATACGAACCGATCCTTTTGTGAAGCTTCATCCAGGAGCCTAGAATACAACCTGATTTCCTTCGTCATCAATGAATTGTTGTTTTATCTTTGTTGAATTTATGTCCAATTCATCATTGAGATTCATTTTCAGAAAATTCTCCTCACAAATTCCTAAATTGGATAATAGGGGGAGAGGAGTAACTTCTTTCTGATATTACTAAGGGATAAGAGGATCCTGCTGGTGACTGTAACTGATCAACCATTAATCATAACCAATCCCTTTTGGAGTTTCAATTGGTTAGTTCTTGAAAAATAAGGTTCGCTAATAAACTAAAAAATATGTAATTGAACATTAAAAATAATAATTAAAAAATATTTGAATTATTTTGAGCCAGAAGTCTTGATGAAAGGCTCTTCTCAATAGGAATCATCAACGCGAAATTAGGTTAACGAAATCCCGAAACTACTTTCTAGAGAATTGAAAGAAAAATCTTCCCAAAATCACATTGGAAAAGTAGTTTGAAACTATGAACTGGTTGCGAAAGTATAAATTTGAAACGAAATACACCAATGGAATCACTCTAAGGACCAGCGTCCTCCTTAATTATCGAAACACTTTTACTTTTTCTGACGGAAGAGGGTATCAGTACCACCCGATCCTTGGATAACCATCAATATTGTAAGTTCATTACACCCAAATTGTTTCTTGTAGCTACAGTATTGCCAGACGACCTCTTATTTGAATTTTTTAGCTAGAACGATCTTGCCCATAAAATTCCACAGGAAGCAAGAACTTCTCTTTTGTTTTACTAACAAGTAAAAGTTGGCCCTCGATGATTAATCTTTCCAAAGACTGATAATTACTTAAACCTACCTGGGATAATTTCGCAACCCAGAAAGCATTCCGGTTATTGCATACGGTCCTTCCATATTGGTTGAAATCTGGCTGGCCGCTTCGAAACCCTACTCGTTGCGTTGATGAGACACTTACCACTTTCAAAGATTGGTCATGGTTCAGACACAAACCCAAGACATGGCTAAAGACATTCCAATTGACTTGCAAATCGATTTCTTCCAAGGTATTCCTCTTTAATGACTTAAGGAAGCTCTGCAACCACATCTCAAATTCTGAATATCCAACAAGTCTACCGTTTATTGTTACCTTTAGTGCCTTAAGGGATCGGAAAATACCACCCAATTGGGGAGCCATCTCTTTACGGAGATTCCTTTCTAAACAACGTATCTCTAACCTTCTAATCCGCGGAATATCAAACGCCGAAAAAGAATCCTCTAAATACTGATCACTGACTTCCACAGATAAATCTTCAACTACAATCTTAGTTGACCAACTGGACCTGGGAGGGTCTACAACCTTGATACTTTTCAATCTTTTAAAATTTATGAAACCCAGCATAGGCTCGAACAAAAGTAAATGTTTCACCAAATAGGCTTTCTGCCGAGTGCATGTTTCACCTAAATGGTATTCAGAAACGGTTGTCTCTTGATGCTTTAATACCCAATTGAGGACATCACTACGTGAAATATCAAGAAACAGAATCGAACATCTGTCAGCTTCTCTGGCAATAACATCCAACGTATCCGTTAACACGTTTGTATCATCAGCAAAAAGTATAGCTCTCATGTATTGTGGCATATAATAAGAACTCGCAATTAACTCTAAAAGTTTTGATAAGCCAACCACGGTACATTTCATATAGAAAGGTGTATACATTTTTTTAGGAACATTGATCACTTTGATATCTTTGCCATCTAAAAAATCATCATAAACAAAAATTGATTTAAACAACTTTCTTTTACAAGCATTTTCAAAATGTCTGTGAGTCAAAGCCAAATGAAATACATCCATCTGGTTTACGTACTCTAGAATTATCAACAAGATTTCGTCAGGAAGTAAAAATACACCTCTATTAAAATCATTGTATGGCTTCAACAGTAATGCGATTTTCTGTAGTTCATGTCTAATTTGTATAAGCTCGTTTTTCATATCCCTGACAACCAGATTAAGTTGAGACTGCTCATGTTTAAGTTGTACAAGCTCGTTGGTAAAATCCTTAATGGTTGGTTCATTTTCTTTTGAATAAGTTTCGTGCCCACAGGTCTCTGGATCATTAGCTTTCATCACGTACTAGAAAAATTCTAGAAAAATCTTGCTTTATTAATAATAACTGATTGGAATACCCTTAAGGGGTGGGAGTTGGTGGAACAGAGCTTCAGGTATGAATACAGCAGAAGCAATCAAATTTGTTGCCGGAAAGGAAACAGAGTAATTATCTTATATTTAAGACTTTTCCATCTAAAGGATAGTTACCAAACAATAATAACTTCCTTTGAGTTTACTCAATGGGAACAGGGTTTTGGGTATAGTTTTTATAATATTGTAACTTTCCTAATTTATATGAGCAGAAAAAACAAGCATATCTGAATCATTCTAGGGAGTTTTGGAAACACGAAATGTAGGACGCAGTATCCCCATAACAGATTTTTTGAACGGCTGAAACTAACTAACAGTGATGCTTTTGCTTGTAACACCTACAAAGGTTCATGATAGCAACATAATAGACACACTTCACAAGGGGCATAGCCTTTTTGTGAAATTTCCTGGAGACAATATGATATCCTCATGTAATCCACAGTATGTTGTGTATCAATATTGTTCTGGATCTTTAATGTCCTTGATTTTGGATGATTGGATGATTCCATTATTAGATATTCATACCACCAAACACGTTCAAGCGGTCGGTTTATGAATTCCAGAAGTGTAGTACTGTCTATGAATCAGATTACAAAGAATGCAAGAAACGAGCCAGAATGCCTCGAGGTCTTAAATGACAATAACAAGGGTATCAATCCAAGGAATATAAAGATTTTCATTTTCCCTTTTTGGCCAGTTGTATTAAAAGTGCAGTAATATTTAGTTTATAGAGAGATTAGTTTGTGAATTATCAAGATCAGAGTACATGCTGCAATTCCAGCCTTTTCATTGGTAGCGCGCAACTGTTTTGGGCTAGAAGTCTTCACCTCTAACGCAATGATTGTTATAGATTAAATGAGTCAACTGAATTTTACTGGTACTTATGAAATTACCAAATAGCGGTAATCGTAAAGATCAAAGCTTTAAGGTTGCAAAGTGCTATTCAGAGTTTCATTTTTCCAATCTCCCCTCAAAGCATTGAGCGTCTTCAACCCCAAATGTTGATCTCAACTAGAAAGGGAATTATTTTTGTTAAATTAATATCGGTATACATATAATGCATATCACTGATCCATTTGGCCAGCCTGTAAATGTGTGTGAAGGAGGACTTGGATCAGCAAAGGTTCGGAGGGAATCAGAATAATCCGAACTTTTCTGTTTTTTTTTTTTTGGCAGCCGTATCTCAGAATATCGTCCAACAATTAATAATGGATTAATGCATGTGATGCGCTCATCAGTAAGAGATATCCCGATAGGATATATATTTTAAATAAGTATGCTACCGGTGATAATATGTTACTAGACAACATAAACTGACAGCTGAAAGTTCCACAACCAGTTCGAGCGTCGATCGGATTTCAATCGTCAACTACAGACATATATTCATCTTAGAGCAGTGATATAAACTGTGCTAAATATTTTTATTCTTTAACTTGTTCTGCTTCTAAATCTAGTTACTGATCAGCTTTCGGTACCTGAGGCAACATACTTGCATCCTTAATTTTCCGCGTTTGTGGAACTAAAATTCTCCTTTGAAGAACTTCGTCTTTGTTGCTTACTTTTGGAGGATCCTCCACGAGCATATTTTGAGGAACAATGTCCTTCTTTTTCACCTCAGCATTACAAGCTATACCCCAGCTACGTCCATGTCTTGGAGCTGGCGATTTTGGTTTGGTAATCAGATTCGTCCAAAGTACACAATTACTCCATTTGTGACCACGCTTCCCACAATGAATGCAAGCTCGCGGGTTATATTTATTTATGACATCTATGTCACAAACCGACAATATGAACACGATGGAGCCGCTAACTTTCTTCCAACACTCTTCGAAATCTATATCCAAAGTCCCATGCTTAACTAGTGTCTCTTCATTGGCATCACGAATGAGGTTTAGTGTATTCCATGTATCTGGATCTAATTTATACTGTAAAGCTCTCATAACTTCTGAGGCATCCATCCAAAGCATACGCCATATAAGAATCCATTGACCAAATCCGATTTTCTTTCCATCATCAATATGAGATGATATGGCCATATCTACGGCAACAATCAAGCTTTCTTCGTCCTCAGCATACATCAGGAAAGCATTCTTTATCTCGGTCGGAATCTCAGGTGAGACATACTTTCTCTTTCGTAGAATTGCCCTCTCTACTTGTGTAAGGATATAGAGATATCTAATCGGTCTAGTTCGATTCAATGCATTTGAAGACGTCGCAAGTCTCACCCAGGTAATTAACTCTTTGTTCTTTAAATTGGCAGCTGCAGAAATAATGGAATGTCGTAAAAGGAAATCTGGAATTTGGTAATCAAATTTCCTTTTCAATAAATTTCTAAGCCAAGTTGCAAAATCCACTAATGACCAAAGCAATTTCAACTGTGGAAATTGTCGAGAATCAAATTTCGAATATTCATTTTGTTCTTCATGCAGTCGACCGTTTTCGCCTAGGGAGTGAAGGTGAATATATCTATCATAAAACTTCTTCTCAACTTCTTGCGTCGGATTCATAACGTGAGGCATTTTAAGTTCAATTCTGCCTCCTTCGGATTGTTTCTTTCTATTCGGATCATCTTGTGAATCATGCAAATCCAATTGTGACATAGATAAGTTCATTTCGTCAATTCTTGATTTGTCTTCACCTACTGAGTTCCTTTTGTGTGTTGATGAACCATGAGAAGGGTTCAATTGGAAAGTAAATTGTGATTTTGGAACCCTATACTTCACATCGAATATATGCGTTTGGCTTTGTGAGCTAATCGTTTTATTGATATTTTGACTCTTTGAAACTTTCTTTTCGGAATTAAAGGTTGATCTAGATGCACGTTGGCCATTGAGTACATTCAATTTCTTTTCCACCATAACTGGTGGATTCGGTTGAACTATAGGGATAGTTTCGATATTGTTCGATGGTTGTGTGTCCACTAAGGTGGCTCCTGTCATTGTATTCTCAATTATATTTTGTAACTTAACTCTTTTAAATTCCAGCTTTGTTATTATGCCAATTCTCTGCTATTTCGAATATGATACAGCCAAATAGTATTTATCTTCAATTCAAAAGAGAATAAGCTTTAAATGGCTCCCTAGTTGTATACCACCCCTTTATATAATATCTCTTTCAAATAAATTTCAATTGATCACACACTTCCTGAATTGTACGGACTGAGGCAATATTCATTTGATTTTCGAATTCTTGCCAATTACAATTCAAAGTGATATTCAATTTACAGATATTGAACTTTTTTCAATTTTCAAAAGTTTTTATTTTTCTTAACAAAGGGTAGTGTCGTGTTAGCTTTGAATTTGTCGCGAATTGCAATTGTTCACGACACTTTGAATTGATACTAGATCATATAATCAGATTATATGATGGTTCTTCAGTAACTTGATCTGTTGTATACAACTCTTGATACATTTTAAAATCACCAAATATGATCCATGTTTTTCCTTTAAGACTATTTATTGCTTGTGTAATGTTCTAGCGACTTTTGTATATACCACATATCCCATTGTTCACTCTTTGGTTGATATTTGTCCAGATTTTTTCCTTTTGTGAAACAGGCGTTTGCGGTTTCGAAAGTTGACTACAATCCCTGTGATTTGTACCAGCGATTTCCACATTTTTGTGGTTGTATCTTCGTGCGTACGTAAAAAATGGGCCTAATTGATTGCAAATTTGTGGTTGCAAAAAATCTCAAGTATAAATAGACCCGGAAATCCCCTAGAATTCAAATTTTTTG